ATATATATATATATACATTTACATGTTTTTTTTATATTCTAAAGTCAGAATTTAATCTTATTTATTGAATATTAAGAGATTAATTTATTATTCTATTATTATATAATTAACAACATTTATAAAAATCAGCGAATATTTATAAATTTAATTCATTTTAATTAATAAATTATTACAAAATTTACTTTAATTAAACGTAAAATTTTATAATTATGATAATAATAAATGCATTATATTATTTTTAATAAAAAAATTTTTCCATGAAAATAAATGGAAAAAAAGAAAGAAAAAAAGGAAAACATTTTTCTTCTCATTCCTTGAAGCAATTCATAATACACCTACGATGCAATTGCTTACAACGAAGAAAGTTTTGTTTAATTTCGGCCGAGTGACAACATTGAAGGAAAGAAGGTATGCAAGAATTAATGTAACAACCTAAAATAAATAATTACAGAGTAAAAATACAATATTAATATTTCCACACTTATTAGAAAACAGCACTTACCTACTGATGAAAGAACAGTTATGTACAGAGAACTTTCCTTATCAGTTATGTCTACTAGAGAAAAATTAAATAAATCATTAATATATTTGTATTATTAATTATTTAAACACTTCTAAAATAAAAAAAATTAACAATTAAAATTAGTATGTAAAGTAATAAATTATGCATAAAAGATAATTAAAAATACATTGAAGTTCTTCTTCAGGAACTGACTTCTTAGTCCACCAAGCTGTATTAAATATTTAAAAATAAATAAGTTGTATAATTTAAATCATTTATAGATACATTTAAAAACATTTTTCTTAATATTAATTTATTAAAAATATATCTTACTGTTTCGTTTATCCATACTTTCCTTCCAGTTTGAAGAAACAAGTGCTATGCTATCTTCAGAGAGTGCTGATGAGAGAGCAAAATTTAAAAACTTATTATAAGAATAATTTAACATTAAAAATAACTTTAAAATAATTTTTTTTAAAAAAATAAACAAATTTTACCCGAATTCAACGATAGAAAAACATTTAAGAAGAGTGCAAAAGATGTCAAAGCATTAAGATTATTCATTGAGAAAAAATTTCTTATAAAAGCTATGGTTTTCTATATCCTGTATAAAAAGTAAATTTATAAATGTCTTTCCAAGCTTAAAAAAATAATTAAAATTAATTAAAACATTTGTTTAAATTGAGAAGAATGTTGATTTAAAATTTTAAAAAATGGATACAATTTTTTTTAATGTGTTTAATAGAATAATATATATATAATGAGAATTATAAAGAAATGATCTTTCTTACCTGAATAGATGGCAAGAGGAAATGAACAATGGCCCGATAGAGGACTAGATTCTTTATATACAAAGCCATCGTCTAAGTAGGAAGTCAGATTGTCTTCTCGGTAAGTGCAATTAATCCCTGTTAGCGAGATGGGATCAGTTGGAATTCCCTTCTATTTGAATATTTAATAATTCTTGATTGGAAATTTTTCTTGTTTGGACTTCCTGCTAGTTTGTATTAATTAATGTCTGTCGAAAATAGCAATGACTTAATTCCTTTCTTTCTTAGCTATTTTCTTATGATTGTGTTTAAATAATTTTCTCGTTAGAATAACTTAAAATAACACCAGAGTAACAAATTAAAGATACGTCTAAATTTATAAATTAATCCTTTATCTTATGCACGTACCCTCATAAGAGTTACTTACAGGGTGATAGAATAATATTTTCCAATTTTTAAATTGAATTTGACTAAACATATTTTAATTTAGAGGTTTTACTGTATTTTGTAACAAATTTAGAAAAATCCTTATACACCTTATATGCAAATATTGTATACATAACATATAAATAAACCGTAAAGACTGTATACAAAATCAATATTAAATAATTAAGATCGCAGCATATAAAGATAACTTANAATTCAAAAACAAAATTGTAATAAATAAATCTATCAATTTTTAATCATTATCATCTCAAATTAAGAAATGAAGACTTGTTTCTTAATAAAACATCTAATTAGCAACAATAAGCCATTCAGGATGAAGTTAAGAACTACTTAAGATGATGTTAAACGCCATTTTTCATTGCTTTGTCACATAACTTTACTTCTTTTAACGATCCTGCTTAATTTCTAGTGAATAAAAAAAATATATATCCAGTAAATTAATATAATAAACAATAATTATTTCTCTCATTATCGTAATGCTAACGCTGTAATTATTTTTGTACGGCTAGAAAATATGAAGAAATGTATGAGGTGAAGATTCGTGTCGTGAAAAAGCAGCAATTTCAACAAGAATGAACTTAACGAACATCCTGAATCAAGGTACAATCATCAAAGTTATGTATTATTTATCACTTCAATCCGTTTTTTTGTAAAGATTCCTTCGACTTAATAGAAGTCGCTTCCTTCCAAAGAAGATTTATCAACTCTGCACCCTTACAAAATAATTAATTTTATATATATATATATATATTTTATTTATTTATTTTTTACTAAAACAATTTGGTAATGTCATTTAGCTGCAGCAAATGTAGAGTGAATTTATAATATTAAACGCTTCTGTGGAAATTTTTCCCCCTTTCTTCTTTTAAGAGATAAAAGCATTGCGAGTCTAATTTTTTATTTTCTTGCATTGATGGATGAGAGATGTCATTTTTGCGATTCTCCTCATCTTTTCTATCTAGTAACTGATGGGTGTTAAGATAGATAACATCCCTTGGTTACAAATTGACTCGAATCTAGTATCTGCTCTATGTACTTTGGTATTTAACCCACGTCAGTTTAAAATGCATAACAAGATTAAAATCTATTTAATAGTTTAGATAGGAAATTATCAAGAAAACAACTAAATTATATGAAAATTCCAACTAATTACTTTAAATTAAACATTATGAAATACTTTAAAGGATAATTAATTTGTTGTTAGTCGCTTTTTTAATTTATATAATTTTCTAAAAACGTGTTTTAATTTTTTTTTAAAATATATATATTTAAATTAATATAATTGAGTGGAAATTATATGATTAAACCTTTATATATTTAAAATTTTACTTTTTTTTCTCCCTAAAATTTCCTAAAGTTTATACGACATTTATACATTTTACGAATGAAAAATTGATAATTTAATACTCAAAACTCACAGAAATTTACATTATTTTGGCAAATAAACTAGTGTTTTTTTTGGCATTGAATTAACATAAATATACATTAATATTTCTTAAACGTTATACTTTCTTGAAAATTTAAAATGTTTTTAAAATTATACAATTGTTATGCAATTGTTTAATAAGTGTATTAATACTAAACGATGAGAGGAACACAATTAATAAAAACCTGTATCATTAACGTAAGCATCCTTTGCCAACTTAATGAGAAAATAATGTCTAAAATATTTCGAGAGCAGCGACGAGTGTACTTCTTTACCAATCATCATTAAAATAATTATATTTCCAACCAATCTTCGTTAAAATTTATTGCAGAAAACACTCCTGTAATTTTATAAAAACCATTTTTTTTTTAAATTTTATCATCGCTTCTCTCTTCTATAATTATTTTATTTAACAAAGTTGAACGGTGTACAGTTACTTCACAGTTACGGCAAATTAATTCATGCCAAATATATTATTATAAAACAATAAAATTATTAAAATAATATATAATTTTTAGTAATATTAAGTTTAAAAAAATGGGTAATTTGATCAAAAAGTCACTTATAAATGGTTTAAGTCTAGATGATCAAGAGATTATCCTGTTCGTACATTATGAATATATATCATAATTCATATATATATATGCAAATTTTAAAATGTTTTTAGTCTATAAAAGATGAAGAATTTACACACTAATTAAAATTTATACAGTTAAACATGTGTAAGCCGGAATCATAAGGTACCGAATACAGTCGACCTCCCTACAACACTGTTGATAATTCCGTTTTATATGAATTCCACCTTGTACGAGTCACTTAGATTTTACAAATACGTGTGCCTGGCTGTGAACGGCTCACGTATTTGTAAAATCTAAGTGACTCGTAAAACATGAAATTCATATAAAACGGAATTATCAACAGTGTTATGGAGGGTCGACTGTACAGTATATGTTTTCCGGTTTTGCAAGTTTCCGTTTTGTACAGGTTTCACTGTATTTACATATTTATCAATTTAAGAAATTCTGTAAATAAATTTTGTTTGATTAATGTAAAATTTAATTTGAAAAATCGTATAAATTTGATGTTTATTATTAAAATAAACTGGAAAACATCATTACAAAATGTTTATTTTTATGTAAATTTAAATGGAAACACGAATTTTATAAACGGCTTAAATAAATATGATTTAAATATTATAATAAATATATTAGATTTTAAAATATTTAGCTCGATTTATATTATATAATATTAAAAAAATTGAGTAGAAATTTATTAAAAAGGCTTATAAACAAGATTTATTTATGTTTCCATTTTTTTAGCAGTTAGCTTTTATCTAGATTAATTTTGATTTATTATTATTATTTTATGCTGAAGTAATAAAATTAAAATTACTATATTTTTTTTTATAAAGATAAACTAGCAATTATTATTACTCATCCTCATTTATTTGTAACGTTTTACAATAAATAAGGTGGAAGTCAAACGCAATATGACGTGACGATGCTGCTACACTAACTATGTGTTGTTTACGTTATCCAAATGTTGCTATAAATGCCGGAACGAGAAATATAGTACGATTGGGTGCGTACGTATGTCTGTGTGTGCTAAGTTAATGGTGGAAGCTAACAGACTTAAGCCAAATTCCTGATCTAATTAACTAACTCCCAAACCAATAGTTCTAACGTGTCTGTATCAGTGGGTGTAAAACGAGAGTGGCTACGATGTATATTAGTGGACACATCAACTACGATGGCACATCTCATCTGATATCACGCAAATTGTTCATTAAAAGCGACATGCGACGATGAACAACAACATCAACATAGATTATATATTCCTATAGAAATGCACTGTCTTTTGAATATTCTACAGATTTAACACTTACAAAATTAGTCTGAATATCTAGCTAAATATTAAGATGATGCTTAGAAGTCAATTCATACGCAAGATGTTAAGGTTTTACGGATCTAAACACCATTGTAATTGAATAACAATGATGAAAAGTTTAAAGTTTTTGTTAAGAATTTATCGAAATTAGCTTAAAAATTGATTATAGAATCGAGAAAATGTTATATTTTTGTTCATTTTAATGTATTTATTTAGAGAAATATAAATATTACGGTCTTCTATTAAAGAGATAAAATAGCTCTTCATTATACGAAAGAGTTTATTAATGAGATTTTCTCGTGAGAATTTTAAAAAATATATATAAATTAAATTAATAAACATATATAAATGAATTATATTCTGACCAATATAAGAAGAAAGTTTAATTCCTTATTATATATTTTTATCTGTTTACTTCTCCCTTCAACAGGAAAATTAGTGTTATCCTATCTTTTAATCTAATGCAAAATCTTCTAATACTAATTCACAAATAAAATTTCCTATAAATATTATAATTTTTTTAATATTGTAAAACGAAATATATTTTATTTATTTTTTAAAATCTCGTCTAATATAAGTCGTAAAAGTGTTTCGTCTCGAGTTTCGTGTCATGCCCAGGGCAATAAGTCTATTAAGTTATACTGAATTTTATGAAAACCTCGATAAGTATAATTTATGATTTTATATTTAATGCTTCTTTTATGACTTAAATTTCCCTCGAAAAAACACAAGCTTTTAACAGTTTTTATTAAAATATTTTAATGTAAAGTAGATTTTAAAATACTCAATGGAAGAATATCGTGAAGTAAACTTACATTTTTAAGTATATATTTTTTCTTTTTTGGAGAATTTTATTAGAATTTATTATAATTTGGAGGTTGATAGAAATTAGAAGTTGTGTTTTGATAAAAGATGATGTTAGAAATATATTTTTCTCGTGTTTTTATACAAGCAAATTTTTAATATTTTCAAATCTTAAATGATTAAAATGGCAAATTCTTTTTGCATTTTGAAACTTTTTAATAATATAATATTAAGAAAGTTGTTAAAAGGAGAAACTTTATTACTCACCTCTCAAACCAGTGTCATATTAGGAGTTAGGAGGCAACGAATCTGCCATTTAGCCAAGTTGATTGAGTCAGAGGATGTTGTGATCCGTAGCTTGGTGTGGTGCAGAGAAGCCCACAAACATTGTTACCCTTAATAAATACAGTTAGAGAGAACCATTCGCCGGTTATAACCACCTGTTAGTTCCTGATTTGTTAAAATAAAGTCGGTTAAGTTGAGTGCACTGCTATCTCGTGAGCAATTTATGAACTATTTCATTCATTTTGACGTGAATAAAATTATGTTGATCTGTTAATGAAGAAAATTAGTTGAATCAATAGACAGATAAAATGAAGATTAAGGAAGTAATTCGGCTGGCTAATTAAACAATTTAATTTCTGTTCAGAAACTGGAAGTGTTTAGTTGACTTATTCACTTTTTTTTCTTCCTTTTTCCTAAATTGATAATCGATGCCAGACCTTGTTTTCATTAATTTATCTACTTTCTTATTAAAATTCGTTATTTTATGTATTTATTTATTAAAGTAATTTCTTAATATAATTTGTCTTTCGTATGGAAAAGTTTTCACGTCATTCCAATTTCCTCTCGTTGGAGGAAAAGGAACCTTGATGGAGATGGAACAGCTTCTTCCTGGCATTTAAAAGAAGTTGGACGTGTTGTCCATGTATGATATATTTTAAGGTCTTCTAGAGTCAAAAGTGATCTTTCCCCATTGAAAATTGGAATGTAGCCTTTTTTATGGATGAGGAGGATCTCTTCTCCAAGTAAAATATGGATAGAGATAAGCAAGATATCTTTTTAAAAGTAAAATATAGATAAAGACGAATAAAAACTCTTCCTCTAAGAAAATATGGATAGGGATGAAGAGTCTATTTTGTTTCAAATAAAATATAAATAAGAATGAATGGTTGTCTTTCTAGTAAAGGCAACGTGATAGGATTACATGCTGTTAATGACAAGTTACAAATTTTATTAAATTTATTTATTTATTTAACAAATTATACATATTCAAATAAAGCGATATTATATATCAATTTTTAAATATATTTGTTTATCAAATTATACATTATAACCAAAATTTTGAACTCATTTTATTCAAAAAAAGTAAAGGTAATGTTTTTCTTTCACAAAGAAATTAAATTATATTTTTTAAACGTGTCGCCATAAAATTTTACGATGAATATTTAATAGAAAAATCTTCTATAAAATATTAATAACGGAATATTTTTATCGATATTTTGAAATGGTACAGTACAAGGGGTAAAAACATAACGACATCTGTTGTGTATTGTTGTTACTATTTGAATTTTATAAATAATTTTAGCGAATTTTTATATAAAATTTTAAGTTTATTTAATAAAGAAATTAATAAAAAAATCACAAAAAAATATTTACTATTTTAATAGAACTTTTATTAAGAATTAAAATTTAAATAAAGAATCATTTTTACATGCATTTTTAAGTTTTACTGAAGCGACATTTTTTAATAAAAACAATTATTTTTAAATTAATTTAAATATTAAAAATTAAATACATTTTAAAGTTTTAAATAAATATTGCATTTAAAAATTAATACAATTTACATTTATCTAATTGATAAAATGAAATATATATATATATACATTTACATGTTTTTTTTATATTCTAAAGTCAGAATTTAATCTTATTTATTGAATATTAAGAGATTAATTTATTATTCTATTATTATATAATTAACAACATTTATAAAAATCAGCGAATATTTATAAATTTAATTCATTTTAATTAATAAATTATTACAAAATTTACTTTAATTAAACGTAAAATTTTATAATTATGATAATAATAAATGCATTATATTATTTTTAATAAAAAAATTTTTCCATGAAAATAAATGGAAAAAAAGAAAGAAAAAAAGGAAAACATTTTTCTTCTCATTCCTTGAAGCAATTCATAATACACCTACGATGCAATTGCTTACAACGAAGAAAGTTTTGTTTAATTTCGGCCGAGTGACAACATTGAAGGAAAGAAGGTATGCAAGAATTAATGTAACAACCTAAAATAAATAATTACAGAGTAAAAATACAATATTAATATTTCCACACTTATTAGAAAACAGCACTTACCTACTGATGAAAGAACAGTTATGTACAGAGAACTTTCCTTATCAGTTATGTCTACTAGAGAAAAATTAAATAAATCATTAATATATTTGTATTATTAATTATTTAAACACTTCTAAAATAAAAAAAATTAACAATTAAAATTAGTATGTAAAGTAATAAATTATGCATAAAAGATAATTAAAAATACATTGAAGTTCTTCTTCAGGAACTGACTTCTTAGTCCACCAAGCTGTATTAAATATTTAAAAATAAATAAGTTGTATAATTTAAATCATTTATAGATACATTTAAAAACATTTTTCTTAATATTAATTTATTAAAAATATATCTTACTGTTTCGTTTATCCATACTTTCCTTCCAGTTTGAAGAAACAAGTGCTATGCTATCTTCAGAGAGTGCTGATGAGAGAGCAAAATTTAAAAACTTATTATAAGAATAATTTAACATTAAAAATAACTTTAAAATAATTTTTTTTAAAAAAATAAACAAATTTTACCCGAATTCAACGATAGAAAAACATTTAAGAAGAGTGCAAAAGATGTCAAAGCATTAAGATTATTCATTGAGAAAAAATTTCTTATAAAAGCTATGGTTTTCTATATCCTGTATAAAAAGTAAATTTATAAATGTCTTTCCAAGCTTAAAAAAATAATTAAAATTAATTAAAACATTTGTTTAAATTGAGAAGAATGTTGATTTAAAATTTTAAAAAATGGATACGATTTTTTTTAATGTGTTTAATAGAATAATATATATATAATGAGAATTATAAAGAAATGATCTTTCTTACCTGAATAGATGGCAAGAGGAAATGAACAATGGCCCGATAGAGGACTAGATTCTTTATATACAAAGCCATCGTCTAAGTAGGAAGTCAGATTGTCTTCTCGGTAAGTGCAATTAATCCCTGTTAGCGAGATGGGATCAGTTGGAATTCCCTTCTATTTGAATATTTAATAATTCTTGATTGGAAATTTTTCTTGTTTGGACTTCCTGCTAGTTTGTATTAATTAATGTCTGTCGAAAATAGCAATGACTTAATTCCTTTCTTTCTTAGCTATTTTCTTATGATTGTGTTTAAATAATTTTCTCGTTAGAATAACTTAAAATAACACCAGAGTATCAAATTAAAGATACGTCTAAATTTATAAATTAATCCTTTATCTTATGCACGTACCCTCATAAGAGTTACTTACAGGGTGATAGAATAATATTTTCCAATTTTTAAATTGAATTTGACTAAACATATTTTAATTTAGAGGTTTTACTGTATTTTGTAACAAATTTAGAAAAATCCTTATACACCTTATATGCAAATATTGTATACATAACATATAAATAAACCGTAAAGACTGTATACAAAATCAATATTAAATAATTAAGATCGCAGCATATAAAGATAACTTATAAATGAAGTTTTAAAGATGAACTGGTTCCTAATGAAAGGAATTTATATTAATTTTTAGGCTAGGAACGCATCTAGAGAAGTTGTGATAGGGAGCAAACAAGGCTTGTATTGCTAACAAGACTCATTATCTCTTTTACAATTAATTTTCAATTTTATTAAATTTTTATGTTATCTAAGTTTATTTAACGAATTGAAAATCGACCCTCTAAGATTTAATTTCGGATATGTCTTAGCTTTAGGCACAAAATGCCAAATTATTGATAGATAAATAACGTCTAAAATCGTAAATAAACTTAAGGACTAAGAGATTTAGAGAATCTAAAACAATCAGAAAAAAACCTTAAGAAAATTATTTACTTGTTAAAATTTCACATAAAATTAAACTGGTTTTGGATAATTATTGGCTGAGTTGATGTGAAATGCCATTATTTGATAGTATTAGAAGTTATTTGTGCAACTTATAGCTTTTACTGAAGTAATTTTTTATTTAATCTTTCCTCCCAGATGGTACTAAGAGGACATTTTCAATTATATTCATCATATGTTTGGCCAGGTCCATAGTAGGGAACGGTGGGATAGTAAGGGATGAGTCTTACATATTCGAAATTAATTAATTGGTTTATCTGATCAGAACAGAAGAACGATCAGTCAAGTGGGGATGCCTCCTGGCAGGACTTATAGGAAACTGACCCTATTTAAATGTTAGACATGTCAATAAAACCCAGAAAACTCCATATAGTCAATCCGCTGGTCAGTCCGTTGCAAACCCGTGACCAACTATCAGTGTTTAGTGGCTTTATCCAAAATAGCTCATTCTAAAATATTTCGGACCGGAACTATGGTCTCCCAGGATGGCAGATTAATGCCTTTACGTCTCGATCAACAACATACAACTAGTACACGCCGAATCGGATAATAGTGTGAGATCCGACCTCCCCGGCGGTTCACATAATTGGTTTTTCAGGAGTGGGGTCTCGACTTCCTCAGACTTTCGATAAGGTGAAAAAGGCTATATCCGAGTAAACGGTGGTTTCGAGTCGAATCAGGGACCTTCGAATTAGGTTAATAGTTAAAGTAGTATAGGAAGTAGATATATTAGTAGGGAAAAATGGCGGATCCCCAACCTCAACCTGCTGCTGGCCCAGGCAACCCAAATCCTAATCCTAATCCTAATCCGGCACCGAGCCCTCTTACGTTAGGTGGTTTAGGCGGAATAGTACCTTTATTACCCGTATTTTCGGGAGAGGCGGGAGGTCCAAGAGTAACCGATTTTTTCGATTCGTTGGCGGATGTTACAAAAGTAGCGGCCTGGTCGAAGGCTCAAATGTTAGCCGTAGCGAAGCTTAAATTGACGGGAATAGCTAGGGAATTCGTGAGAAAAGATCGGAGAATTAAAGAGATAGATGATTTTGACGAATTCAAGCGTATTATGATACAGCGCTTCGCGCTTGAACCATTTTCGTTTAGATTAAGCAGATTTTATACTTGTGTGCAAAAAAGAGGCGAAGACGTGCAGACATATGCTGCTAGGTTACAAGCTTTAGCAACGGAGATCGAAGTCACAGTAGAACCAGGTGCAAATGACGCGGAAGTCGCTCTAATCCAAAGAATTCAAGATAAAGAATTAGATGAAAGATTAAAGGCACAATTTTTAAGCGGAATAGATATACACATTAGACAAAGAACTATGAGCCGCGAACCTAAAACGTTTGATGACGCCTTGAAGGCAGCAATAAGTGAGGAGACAATCGAAGAACTTACCGCACAGCCGCGCGGGATCATGCGAACGGTCCGGGAAAATCAAAGTACTACAGACTCTACCACTTCTAGAGCTGATATGGAGCAATTAACACTTACGATGGAAGAATTAAAAGCTAAAATGGACAGTTTGATTAAAGGCTCACTCCCCATTAATGTTAGAAGTCCGACGTTGAACCGAAATAATCGCGGAGGTTATAATAATCCGACATATCAGCGAAGCGAATATCGCTCGAACTCCCATAATCGCCGATACGCTCAACCGATTAATCGAACTAGCGAACGCTCTACACGGCCACGAAACGATTTTCAGAATCGAGGTAGATGGGAAGGCAATATACATAGTATCAGAGAACTGCGACCTCAATATTATCTTAAAGGAAATCCTACAGAGGAGAACGAGACGAGGTGGAAAGGCAGAATAGGATCAACGACAACCGTTTTAAGACCTAATCCTGTCATTTTAGTCTATATTAATAATATCCCCGTGAAAATGCAAGTTGACCCTAGAGTGGAACGTACGCTCATCTCAAATGACTTAGCGAATAGACTGAAAGGGAAAGCTTATATCAAATTTGGACTTAGACGGAAATTGGGAATCGTCTTAGGGAAACCCTCTACCGCTATAGGAACAGCGATAATCACGCTTAAATTACGGGGAAGGAAACTTTGCATGCCGTGTGCTATTGTACGAGCCGAGGTCACCACCCCGTGTGACGGGATCTTAGGCCGAGATGTCATTGAAGGAGCGCGATTAACATTAGACTTTGATAATGCACAAGTGATTCTCCCCAATCGGAAATCTATACATTTTTGCACACCCCTACGGCCGCGCCGAAAGAAGAGGAGGAGAAAAGACCGCAATCAAGGAGAGCAAAACTCTTCGGACATCCTCCAAAGTGAACGACTAACTCCTGTCGCAAGGAAAAGAAATCGACCGAAAAGGAGCGCAAGAAGGAAAACTACAACCCATAGAAAATTTAAACGACCTAGAATACTACGTGATAACACGGACATGACTGTCGAACGACCTAGAGAATCCCCGGAACAAGACCCACTAACAGCGGCACCTCAACAGATTATTTCTACTGACCCTTGTGACGAATTTATTTTGAACTCTATACCCCCTCCACTACCGGAAGAACAAACGGAACCGAAAAGCGAAAGTGAGAGTGGGGAAACTGAGCCCGAAAGCAAAGTCCACGAATCGGACATGGAAGAAAAACAAGAAACTACTCCTCCCTATGCACTTCGAAGTCAGGGGCCAGTTGCGGATCAACCATGGGTTATGCCTCGACACACTCGTAGTCGTATTCCACGTCTTATTTCTCCCGCCTCTAGTCGATCATCCTCACCTTAGGTCTGCAGATGAGTTGTAACATTTTGATATGTATGAAATTGTCTCGCAACAACAGTCATATAACCATATCTATATATTTTAATCCTTTTTATATATTTTTCCCTTACGTGAAAATTAGCTTTTCGTATATTCGTAGAATATCATAACATATATTCGAATGTTAGAATCTTATCCTAAACTCTTTTAGTTTATAAGATTTCACAAGATTTTTCCATTAATTAGTGATAGATTACCGAGAGAGAGTACACCAACGCGTGATGTATCCATCTAAATACCTCTAGTCCAAACTCAAGGACAAATTGTAACAACTAAATCATTACTAACCTTTAGTTTTTTGAATATAAGCAGCAGTACCACTTCGTCATCTTCACCGAAGACATCGGATCCACGTGACGCTACAGCCGATCAACTAACTTTCCTGGGACCTCAACGCATCGAAAAGCGACCCTACTAGCATCAACAGCGTGTCTCGACATTCCTACAATATTCCAGCATCCTCCAAAATTAATATCCATACGTTCTCACAGTGAACATCATCCAATGAACTATCCAACTCACCAGAACAAAGAAATTTCCAAAGACTGTGTAACGAACACTCAACCTCTCGAACTTTGAACTGTTACCCTCGTATGTAGGTCAACAAAAACTTCAACTGACCAATCAACTATCACCAGTTCGAAGACACCCGTCCTTCAACCTCAACCCATAAATATTGTCGCGAGCTTGACACGTGCCGGGATTTATATTGTATAGCTATAGTGTTAAATTTCATATCACTTTCTTTTATTGCGGTTAACGCGGCGTCTTGATAACCCAAAGAAACTTGACTTTTGTTTTGCAAAGAGAGAGAGAAAAAAACTTTTTATCTATGTAAACATACCTCTATCTAGACAAAACAATCAAAAAGTTTAAAATCACACTATCATAAGTGCGATTTTAAAGAAAGCGTGGAGTGAATGTGAGATCCGACCTCCCCGGCGGTTCACAATAGTTAACGTGGAAATTAGCTCCAAAGAAACTAGGTGCCGCCATGACAGTCTAAGACATATGTTGTAGACAGATTGTTGTGTGTTGACTTATGGTAGCTATTTCTGGCGTAGTTGTTATTTATTTAGATTAGAGTGTCCAGGAATTGTCACAGGAGCATAACAGGAATGCCACTGAGTTTCTGTGCATTTAATTGTGTGGGTATAAAAAAGGATTCGGTATCACGTTATCGGTAAGTTCTAGTTGCTCTGATACTGTATCATCAGTTGGCGATCAAAAGATCTCGTAACTCTTTCCGAATAAAGTTTTCTGGAGAAACATTAAACTTTCTTCAGAAGTCCGTTATTACCTTATGTTGATTATTTTTTTTTTAATGTATTGAACTAGGTTTAAATCGACACTTATGAGAGTTTTACAGATCACAGAAAATGTACTTCGTTATCCACTAATGCTGTAATTCAAATTTAGCAAATATTGGAGTTACGAAGAAACCAAGCAATAGTAGGCACTTTGAACCTAACTTTTTCTACATACAGAACGGATACACCTATTTGCATGAAACAGCGGTTCCTACGAAGTTTGATTTCCCTCAGCATCTAGAGATAGCCAGTAGTGCCCACTAAAGCGAATATCTTTGGCTAAAACAGGTTATGATACACAACGAATTGATGATACCTATGATGAGTGAAGTGTGCAGCAGCAAGATGAATCTCGAATGCCTGACCCATCACATCAAATAATCAGGCTCTCGTGGTGTTTCTGTAAGACAAATACTGTCTGCTTTATTCAGACACAATAACGTGACTCCTTTTAAACACTTGGCAGATTATTCGTCTTTTTATACAGTTGGTATACACCAAATACACCAAACTTGTTTATTTTAAAAATCAATAAATTACGTTTATTGATGGGTCACTGCATTTGAAAATATATATACAAGTCGAGGAGTGCCTTGTATATATTTCTTGTATTTTATATTCCTTAATTTGACTAAATGTTCAGTAGATATGAATAATAATTTAACTACTGGTATTTACTATTAAAGATTAGTTTAATATTTTTCAGAGAATTTCGACTATTTCATTTATTATTTATCAGTTCTGCAGATTACAGTCATAAAAATTGTGTATTTTTGTAAATTGTATATATGTGATGAACAATCGTATCTGTATTAAGTATTTCTTGCAGGTGCTCAGCTTTCTGTCTTCAAGTGTCATGGCGAACGTATGTTCAATTCGCTTCAAAGATGGCGGTCCTGTGGAGGTCTAGCTAACAATAAATACAGTATTAATATGTGAGGATCCGAATTCGGACTTTCCGTGTGTTTATATCCTTTCATTCAATAGTGTCATAAGATCAAATTGTAGCTGTTACCGCTAAAGCTCGAAATCCGTTAATGTGTACATTACCTAGCTAATCTGCAGATTAACTAGGGTGATCCGTTAAAGTTGCGAAAATTATTCCATTTTTCAAATTACCTAGGTAATCTGCAGATTATCTAGGTAATCTGCGAATTACCTACTAGGCACTCGGTAAAGCTAAAATAAGATCTTTGAGAGAAATAGCCAG